GCAAACAATGGAGGACAGCGAAGAATGTGACTTATTCAACACTGGTTCTGCATGATGAATTGAAGGCCTCTAAACACACAAGATTTTTACATTTTAAGCTTTCAGTCTTCATTCTTGGTGTTTTTCTACCTTAAAAGCTTAGTTAATGCAATAAGCAAAATTGTCAGTTTACTCTCCCCTCGTGTCATTCTAAACCAGTATGCTACTATTTATTTACATTTTTTTTAAACTTATTTATTTTTAAGAATTTTCACGCAGTTCCATTTCAGTCAACAGTTTATAGTGACCTCTACAGGGGTAAAATTATTATAATTTTTTTATGTATATAACAAGGTAACATAACATTTAAAAAGGCGACAAAGGAACAATAAAAATAAATAAATAAAAATAATGAAATTTAAGAATTTTCATGAAGTTCTATTGCAAACCACAATTTATAGTGACCTCTAGATGGATAAAAATATATAAAAATATAAAAATAAAGATATATATATATATATATATATATATAGACTTTCAAATACGTTATATATAATGTATATAACTTCTTATGTGTGTATAACTTCTTATATTATATATAATGTATATAACTTCTTATAGTTTAATAAAATAATTTTTACATTTTTCAATATTTTTAACCATCTAGAGGTCACTATAAACTGTTGATTGGAACAGAACTGTGTAAAAAAGAAAAACAAACAAATAGCAGCATTTATTTAATTTTTCAAATTAGTGAATTTTTTTTTTTTTTAATTCTAAATTTAAATTTAGTGTTTTTAAATTCTTATGTTTTTAAAGACTAAGTTTAAGTGAGCTTTAGATGACAGGAAAGGTAAATTAAATGAAAAAAAAAAAATCAAGAAATAATCATGCACAATTAAATATGCAATATCTGTGATATCCAATATGGACTTGAAAAAACTTTAGAGATTTTATAATAAATCACATCCTCAATTTTGATCTGTTTGTCACACAAAGCTATCGTGTAACTTGAAATGCAACTTTAAGGTTCATTAAAAATCCTATATTAGTGCTCCAAATGTCTGAAACATAACAGAAAAATCCATTTTTAGGCAAACTATTCTTTAAAATCATTATAGTCAGTCAAAACCCAATCTCCTATGAGAGAAGAGGAGTCTTCACTCACACTGGGGTAAAGCACTGAAACTCTACAGGGAAAAACCGAAACTCTGAAGGGGAGATCTGGATTACACACACGCAGATACACACTGACACACATTCACACGGAACAGTGATGTTGTCTGAGCCATGATGGACTCTGTCTACCCCTCTGAGAGGCTGGGCATTGTGGGTAATATGACATTATTAGAATGTATCCAGCATCAGGAATACATTACATCGCCCGAAGACCGCATACATACACCCACACAGGACAGTTTTGCTCTGCTTCCATACACTTTCATTCTCCCTTTCTGGATTTCATTTCTCAAACCACTTTCCTTCTACAATTCCCAAATTGTATTCCAAAATTAAATGTATAAAAGAAAGGAAAACATCATTAATTTTGCATGGGCTGCAGCAGGGATGGAGCTTTCGTAAATGGAGTCTGTCAGCAATCATCAGTCCTGCACAGACAACCGGCAAAGAACCGCAATTAGACGTTGAGCCGCTTTCAATCGACAGCGCAAACTGACAACAAGCCTCATCGGAGGAAGCCGAGAGAGACGAGGTCGGATGCAGTGCACGCGAGCTGAAGCGGGTAGTTAGCGGCTTAAACAGGTCATGATTAGTCTGCTCAGCTCTTTGATACGATCAATTCAATCTTTATGGAACACGTCGTTTGAAATTACGGTGGGCGTGATCAAAGCAGCGAGGATGCATTCCAACAGACAGCAGCAGAACGGGGCTGAATCTCAACCAAACTGAATTAAATTCTATGAAGACAATGGCTCTGGTCCAAACACTAATCAGCTGCCTACATAGACAGCATTGTAATGCACCATTGGCATTGATGCTGCTGCAAAAATAATTTCATCCAGGATGATTTTCATTTTTATTATTTTTCGTAAATAATTAAAATCAATAATAGTAATAATAATTACATATATATATATATATATATATATATATATATATAATGATTTAGTTACTAATGTGCAAAAAAGCATGACTAAAACGGTTATTAAATACAGGTCCTGTATATTGAGTAAAGGACACACACATGAAGATAATCTGTTTCTAGAATTAAATGTATAAAAGAAAGGAAAACATCATTAATTTTGCATGGGCTGCAGCAGGGATGGAGCTTTATCCCTGATCTTATTAGGGCAGCAAGTGTCAGAAAAGAGGCCGAGTGTATGCCATCCATTAGCAAGTCTAGAGGTTTCCTACATACAACACCTACGAAATCCTCCAATCTGATTCACATCTGATACGCTCAGGCTTCTGTGTGTTTTCATCATGAAAAAGAAATATGAAGATTCGATTTTTACATTTACTGAAGAAAATGGGAGTGACGTTCGCAACCACTGCGCAGAAATACTCGACACATTGCTAAGGGCATCAGTGCTGCTACTGTTAACTTAATCTATTCAAAATCATTTTCGTTAATTGAAATAAAGCTGAAACAAAATAAAATATAAATATTGGATGAAACACTTAAAATAACTGCCAAGGCAGCATTTCTATTATTCTATTCTATTATTAATATTTCTATTATTTGGTTACTTGTGCCCTGTTGTTCTTACAATAATAAATGACTCCTTGGCCACTGGTTTTGTGCCAACAGCACTTAAAACTGCTGCTGTCACTCACATATTAAAAAAGCAAAAAAGTGATTCAAACAATTCTCAGTAACTTTCGTCCAAATTCTCATCTTCCATTTATTGCTAAAATTTTAGAGGGTGTTGTTTCGTCTCAATTACACATCCATTTAACGGTCAATAATCTGTTTGAGCCTTTTCAATCTGGGTTTAGGAAACTGCACAGCACTAAAACAGCCTTTGTTAAAGTTGTTAATGACTTACTGTTAGCGTCTGATTCTAGCGCTCTTTCGATTCTCATCTTACTCGATCTTAGTTCAGCCTTCGACACTGTTGACCACATGCTTTTACTTAATCGACTGGAAACTGTCTTTGGTGTATCTGGGACTGTCCTAACTATTAAGATCCCTTAAACTCAGCTACCACTTCTATGCTGATGATACTCAGATTTATATACATTCTCAACCTGGTCAATTTGTCGATGTCTCTCATCTTTCCAACTGTATTTCTGAGATTAAGTTGTGGATGTCTACCAATTTTCTGTGTCCAAATAGCTCTAAAACTTTATAGATCTATGAGTTGATGGTGTTGCCCTAGAGCTACACAGTAAACTAAAAATCTTGGTGTTATCTTTGACGCCACCCTTTCATTCGAGTCTTTTGTACAGAACACGGTAAAGACCTCCTTTTTTCATCTTAGAAATATTGTACGTATTCAGCCTATGTTGCCCTTTTATGTTGCTGAAAAATATATTAAATCTTTTGTTTTCTCACGAATTGATTATTGCAATGCTCTCCTTGTTGGAGTGTCCAAATCCTCTCTTAACAAATTGCAAAACTTGCAGAATTCAGCAACTAGAATTTTAACTGGGGCTAGGGCTGGCGACCAAATAAGGCGACCTGTTTTGAAGACGTTACACTGGCTCCCTGTTAAATACTGTATAGATTTTAAAATCCTAATGCTTATATACAAGGCTCTGCATAGTCTCGCTCCACAGTATCTGTCAGATCTTTTAACTCCTTATACGCCAATTCGCAATTTACGATCTTCTCAGCACGGTCTCTTAGTTGTTCCCAAAACACGGTTGCGATCCAGGGGTGACAGGGCCTTTTCAATGCATGCTCCAAACTTTGATATTTTCAATTATTTATTTATTTTATTTTTTTGTGATTGTCTCAGTTGGGTTACAGGCTTTGGAAATTTCAGATAAATATTCCTGTTATATATTTTGGGTGCATTTGTGAGTTAATAATGAACCGTCCGATTTACACCCCTAATTCTGCTGCTGGTGTTTCTATGATATTCTGGTCTGTTGATATGATTTGAAGTGTTATATGTCATTTTCACGTTTAATACTCAGTTCTAGTGATTAACCCCTAACCCTCATTATGCTCAATAGTAATACTACGGTTTAGATCTCTATTAATCGAATCCACTGTATGTTGGCAGAGATCAGTCAGTTCTGCTGTTGACCTTGAAAGCTTTGAGTTTGCTACATCTGGATGCAGGCTGTAGATCAGTATATGCAGAAATATAACCCTAGTGTGCAAGGGTATAAAACACAAAGGGTCAGGAAATGAAAAGAGACAAAGCGGCAATAAAAAGCATGTAATCGCTTCTGCACGTCCACAATGCAAACATTACCAAACCCACGGCTGAAATCACATCAGGGTAAATATACCAGCACAGAGGACGTAATAATGAACGACAGAGCGCTATGCCGCTGACAGCCCATTTACATGCCGTGACAATCGAGTCCTTTCTACATTATTCATGTGCACCGGATGACAACAGCAAACCCTCCCCTGGAAAACCAAGCCAGAGAGAGGACATCGGCTATCCTGCAAACTATGTAATGCAATTTACGGCGTGTGTGACTTTAGATGAAGCCACGTTCCAGATAAGAGCATCATAACTATGCAAAATGACACAATAACATCATTTACACAGGCGTCAGTAATTACCTCTGCCAGATAATACGGATATTTTACGCTGAGGAATTTGGACAGACGTTGAATAGTTGATAGCGCGATTAAGAGCGACTGAATGGATTATTTTTGTGTGCTCTGTGGCGAGTTTGCTTTAGTATGCCAGACCATGCCGAGTGTGTGACTGAACGCTGATGGATCTGAGGCAGCGCTCTGATCTCATACCTGTACGCATTTCTTGCATCCAGCCAAGAATTCGACAGGAAACTGCGTGATTCTCTGTGCCTACAAGATTTATTTGCGTTTTTACTCATGGGTTCATGCAAACACAAAGTTCTGATACGCTTACCTCTCGTCAATCGGCCGGTCGTTAAACGTCCAGCGAATCACTGGCAGGGGGTATCCCTTCATGACGCATGGCAACAACACGCTCTCCCCGAAAACCTTCGCCACAGCAACGGGGCCCTGGAGAGTCTCCAATTTTTCTTCAACACCCGAATCTGCAAAGACACACACAAATGTGATTGCACAAAAAAAGCACACGTGACTACAAAAATAACATTTAAAAAATATATTATAAAATGAGTGCTGTCAAACGATTAATGGTGATTAATCGCATACAAAATACAAGTTTTTGTTTGCATAATATATGTGTGTTCTGTGTATATTTATTATGTATATATAAAAACACACACATACAGTATATATTTTGATACACAAACACACATATACATTATATCTAAATATATTTTAATAATATATTTTCTAATATATTTTTATAACATATACATTATATATATAAATTTGCAATTCGATAAATCAATAAAATAACACAAAAAATGTATAATAAGAATAATAATAAGAATAAATGTATTTTTTTATTACCATTATTTTCATTGTTACAATATTTTAAGGTTTTAAATTATTAAAAATGTAAAAATGTTACATCTATAATTTAATGTTTAGATTCTCCATTGGGCAAACAACTTCTCACTATAGGAATTTCAAGGTAAACACTATATGCAAGAAACTTCCATGCATATACCTATGCTGATAAAAGGTATACGATTACATGCAGATATGTGAAAAATTCTAGTCATTTCATTACAGGTTTCCCTGAACCTATGAAATGAGTTTTGTCTGTGTGTACCTGCAGACACCTGTAGTTCTGCCTCGTCTGTGGTTTTGGCCGGTCCCAGAGCATCTATGGTGCAGCGGTAGAGTCCGGCGTCGCTCTGGGAGCCGTTGCTGATGACCAGAGCTCCGCTGGGCAGCTGTATGACCCTGCCGTCGAGCTCCACGGGCCGACCGTCCCTCTCCCAGCGGGTGAACGGGACCAGCTCCTCCGTCACCTCACAGCTCAGCATCTCAGTGCCGCCCGAGCACACAGACACACCCTCCGGCTGACTGAGGAAGCGTGGAAGTCCTGCGAGAACGCATGAGCTAGCTGCGTTACATTCCTACAGTAAAGCTCATTCAATCTCTACACTGACAGAATGAAGAAATTAAGCGAGAACAACTGAAATAACGAACCCTGGGGAGCTACAGACGGAGATTGGATGCTTTGCTAACTCTAGAGAAATTAAGTAAATAACACTAATGGTGTTGTCAAACCAATTAGCAAGTAAACTTGGGAGACGAGCAGCCATTAAGCATGTTTGAACAGCACAGCGGAGGGTCTGTTCACGATTATATTCCACTCATTTTATTAATACACTGATTAATGCATGTTAATTAATTAAAGAGGCTAATTCCATTGTAGAGAAACAGATTTGTCTTCAAATTTCAGCTTACTAATTTAAATTGAATTTATTCAAACCCTGACCCGAATTAACATTCATTTCAAATAAGGGATAAAAGAACAGTTTTAAAGGAATTGACTCTTTACTGTTGAGAGATTTAAGCGTATTAGATGAGGTTAATACTGAAAGCGAGAAAACTGCTTTAATAATCATGACTGCAGCAAGAATTAAATTATTTATTATTATTTAAAAATGGTAAACGGCGAGCAAATCTTAACACAATATTAAATAAAAAACACTCAATAATAAATATTAATGTTTATGTAGGTAATTTTCAAAACACACATTTATATTTTAAAAAATTCTAAATGATTCTAAAAAGTTTAGAATACACACATATAACTAAAATAATAATAATAAAAAACATGTATAAAGATAAAAAATTTAAACGAGACTTTTAAATTCTTGTTTTTTTTTCTCCTTTGTTTTGAATATGACAAAGGTAAGTAATGTTTGGAGAATAGAAAGATTTAATGAACAAATACTCATTTAGCACAAGAGTGTGTTGAATGTTTAATATTTCATATAAAAGGAAAACTCTTTGTGCCATTAATTGCTTTGAAACTCACTAAAAAAGTGAACATCAAAAGATGAAGCACAAACAAACAGATCGTAAACATGACTGAGAATCCTTACGAGATTCACACACAAACACCAAGAAGATAAAATTTTTTATTTCTCTCGTCTTTAATCTCATGGTATCGAGTCTGCAGAAGTTCAAAGATGTTCCTGAAGTCTGTGGAAGAACTTTATAATTCACCGTGCAGACGCACTCTCTCTAACAGCTGAATGTATGAGAGCCGAGAGCGTCTCTGACATCCTAATGTTCTCCTGGGCTATTTATGTGTCCTGGCTGATGTAGGACTTGTTGTGGTCTAGAAGCACTAGAGTGGTGTGTGTGTGTGTGCTGAGAGGTCTGTAAATTAGCCCGAGCCTACGACACGATTCACAGACATACACACACATCGTGCTTTTAATGGGACACAAAATCCCAGAGTGCCGACGCAACAGGCCTGAAGACACGACACCTTCACTGGCAGAAAAGTGACTGCATCAGGACTCAAGCTGGGCAAATAAGGACAGAACAATGTGCCGTTGGCAGACACAGCCACTGCGTAAACAGTTTACTGAGCCTGTCAGAGAGAAACTCCATGTGTAAATGTACAGTTCACATAAGCAAACATACATTCAGACTACACAAACACTAATACTCCATCTGCAGTGATAAGACAATCAGAAACACACAAATCACACACACTGACGAACCCTACCAATACACACATGCATTCATTCATATGCACACACAACCACGCAAACTCACTTCGCTTAGTCAAGACAAGTACTAGTACTAAACTTGGGGTTAGCTGTTGTTCAAACCTATGACACTAAGTATTAACTTTCAGCAATGTGCAAAAAAACTTTCAGATCACCTTAGCAACTACATAGCAAATAAATAAACAAATAAAAGTACACAGCCAACTACACAGCAACTCACTGGCAATTGCAACCGCATGGCAACACACTAGCAACCGCATAAGAACATGTTAAAAGCCACTCAGAAAACCCTAACAATCACTTCGCAATTCCCCAGCAACCACAACTTGCTTTAAAAAAAACAAAAAAACTCAAAACACCCCAGCAACCACAAAGCAAAAAAGATACTTTTGTAACCACATAGCAAATGTGGGGGAAGTCGTGGCCTAATGGTTAGAGAGTCGGACTCATAACCCAAAGGTTGTGGGTTCGAGTCTCGTACCGGCAGGGATTGTAGGTGGGGGGAGTGAATGTACAGCGCTCTCTCCCACCTTCGATACCACGACTGAGGTGCCCTTGAGCAAGGCACCGAACCCCCAACTGCTCCCCGGGCGCCGCAGCATAAATGGCTGCCCACTGCTCCGGGTGTGTGTTCACGGTTTGTGTGTTCACTGCTGTGTGTGTGCACTTTGAATGGCATAAATGCAGAGCACTAATTCCGAGTATGGGTCACCATACTTGGCCACATGTCACGTCACTTTCAAATCACTGACAACCACTCACAACAACCTAGCAACCACAGAGAAACAATAAAACCACTCAAAACACCCTCACAACTCCCAGGCAACCACAAACATTCCAGCAGCTATATAGCAATGTGCTTAAAAACATTTAAAATACCCTAGCGACTGCATAGCAACACACTGGCAACCACAGTAAAGCCATGGCAACCACTCACAGCAACCACACAGCAATGTTCTAAAGAACATTTAAAATCCCCTAGCGACTGCATAGCAACACACTAACAGTCACTCGGAACTCTATCAGGCTGTGAACTCTATCACCCCAGCAACTACATAGCAACGTGTTAAAAAAACAACTTGAACACATTTTCATCTGCATAGCAACCACATAGCAACACATCAAAACCCACTCAGAACACTCTAACAACCATCATGCAACTACACAGCATTGTGCTAAAAAAAAACAATTAAAACACCCTAGCAACTAGGGCTGCACAATTAATCGAATTTCTAATCGAGATTACAATTACAGATGTCACAATTACGTAATCGTTCAATTAATTCATAAGTCCACTTATGTTATTCTGCGTGCATCAGATGTGTTTTTTTCTTTCTACAGTTTATCTTATGGGTTTTTCCATTGTTTTAATTTTAGTTTTAACATTATAATACCATGCATATTTTTACTTTTTTATTTAAAGAAGAAACCAATCCATTGTAGAGTTGACATTTGAGGCTTAATGTTATAGAAAAGCACTAAAAGTTTTTCAGTTAGAGTGTTTTCAGCTTGTTTATTTTCATATAAAAATATGGCATGCAGTTGCTTCAAACAATGGTATAAACATAATTCAATGTAAATTGTGATAATTGTAATTAATAATCGCAATTATAAACTAGGGCTGTCAAAAAAATTTTGAATTTCGAATATTCGTCGAATTTAAAATAAAAATCCACATTCGAATGCAAAAACGTCACATTCGAATTTTAGGTGTGCGTCAAGGCCAAAGTATACTTCGGCCGTCCGCGTCCGCGCACCGTCCGCATTACGTCATTTTAGTCATCAGGAGGTCTCGCGGAGAGCCGCGCATTCCGTCCGCATGCAGGCAATTTTTGAGACCGCGCGGATGGTACGCGTACAACAGCGCATGGTACTGCGCATATGTGTCGAGCTCGTCTGTCCGTGCTCATCCTCGGTTGAGTATACTTTGAAAGCTGTGCGGACGCGGCTGTGCAAGTAAAGTGAAACTGTGGAAAGTGAAGTATACTCGGGCCTTCAGGCAGCCTTATCAGTGGCGCACGAAATGCGACGACGATGTAAGCACTTTTTCAGTTATTTGCTTTTGTTAGCCTATCCAGTTGAACCCACTAGATGCGGTGCTGCTACGTTGTTCATTCAAAATATTGCTGGAAAAAAGAACATCAATGTGGAGATGTTGTATACGTCAAAACCGAAACCAACCAGTTCACACAGAACGCATGTTTATCACATTTTCATGTAAGTTCAACTTTTTAAAAACCTGTCTCAAGACTTTATGGCGGGTTTTCCCCATCCTACCGATGTAAGTGTCATTGCATTTTAATGCTTTTGTTACCCTGTCCAGTTGAACCCACTAGATGCGGCGCTGCAACGTTGTTGATTCAAAATATTGCAGAAAAAGAGAACAATCAATGCGGGGGAAGATGTTGTTTACGTCAAAACCGAAACCAAGCCATTCACACAGAACGCATATTTATCACATTTTCTAGAGCAGTGGTTCCCAAACTTTTTGCAGCGTGCACCCCTTTATAATGTTTGACACGTCAAGCACCCCAACCACCGTACTCCGGTTAAACACCACATTTTTTACTGCAATACAAGTATAAATAAAAGTATTCACTGTATACAGGGCTTGACATTAACTCTTTTGCTCACCAGCCACTGTGGTTAGTGGTTTTCCAAAATTACTAGCCACTCAGCATTTTCACTATCAATTACTCCACCGGCCTCGCTCCATTCCCACGGATCTCGGCCCCGCCCCCACTCGTCACATATACATATAATTGTTTAAGAAACTTTATTAATTATATATGGTTTATAAGCATTATTTTAAACATTATGCACTTTTTTCACAGATAGTCGTGTACTCTTGTGGCCTCAGGAGAGAAGCCAACAGTTCCCCCCCCAACTGAAATTATGCCTTTTAAATTAGAATATAATTCGAATATTGATAATATTTAAGTAAAAAATTCAAATTTAGTTTTTCAGCTATTTTGACAGCCCTATTATAAACTCGAGGGAATAATCGACAATTATGAATTCGTCATAATCGTAAATCCCTACCAGCAACCACATAACAAACTAAAAGCCACAGAATCTTCTGAAAAGTCTAACAAGCGCCTTTCAACTTCCAAGCGCCCCAGCAACTGCACAGCAACATGCTAAAAAACAACCTGAACACATTTTCATCTGCAGAGCAACCACATAACAACACCCTAGCATTGTGATGGCTAGTTTTGTACCGGCTTGCAACACTCATGTTCCTCTAGCGCATTCATTCATTCATTCATTCGTTGATTCACACAGAATCTTGTGAAGCTGAGCGACAGAACATCAAACAGCTGCTCTGTCAACCTGCTGGTATTTTGAG